GAGCTGAGTGCAAAAAGAATAAGTGTTTAAAAACTTTAATATTAATTTCACAGAGTGAGTTCATGTCTGTTGAATCTAAATATAAAATAAGTGCCTACATATTTTTTTAAATTAAGGATTACTGTAGTATAATTAACATATAGTAAAATCCATATTTTTAAGGTGCCCCTCTGCAGTCAATCTTCTCTCCTGACCCTGAACCCCAGGCAACTACTATCTGATTTCTCTCCCTTACAGTTTTGCCTTTTTCTAGAATTTCATAGAAATGGAATCATGAACTACATAATCTTTTGTGCCTGGCATCTTTCACTTATATGGTGCTTTTAAGATTCAACCATGTTGTTGCATGTATCAATAGTTTATTCCTTTATATTGCTTATTTATATTTATACTCCATTGCATGGATGTATCAAAATGTGTTTATCCATGCACCAGATAATGGATTTCTGGATTGTTTTCAATCTTGGATGATTATGAAAGCCGCTGTATTTATGTACAGGTCATTTTTGTAAATGGATATCCAAGTCTACCAGCGCTATTTTATTGAAATGACTATCTTTTTTCCAATGATTTATCTTGTCATCATTTTAAAAAGTCAACTGACTTTATATCTGTGGGTCTATTTCTCGACCTATATTCTCTTTCATTGGTCTATGTGTATCCTTATACCAATGCTACACAGTCTTGATTACTGTAGATTTATACTAAATCATGAAATAAAGTAAGTCCTCCAAATTTGTTGTTTTTTGAATTTTTTTTGGCTATTGTGTAGTTCCTGTGCTTTTCCATACAAAGTTTAAAATCGGATTGTCAATTTCTGTAAAAAAGCTTATACGGATTTTAATTGAAATTGCGCTGATTCTATAGATTGCTTTAGGGAGAACTTATAAGTATATCTCTGCATTTATTAGGTCCTTTTTAATTTTTCATCAATGTTCTGTAGCTTTTATTGTAAAAATCTAGAAGGTACTGTGGTATATTTATCCTTAAACATTTAACTTTTTAGATACTATTATAAGTGGTGTACTTTATTATAAGTGTTATATTGTACTTCAGTTTATACTTGCTCATTGCTAGCATATAGAAATAAAATGGATTTTTATATGTAATTCACAATATTAACAGAATAAAAAATGCATCCTAGTACTTTATTGAGATTTTCTATGTAGATGATCATGTCATATAAAATACAGAGTTTTAACTTCTTCCTTTCTGATATGTCTTTTATTTCTTTTTTCTTTTCTTTTCTTTTGGGTGGGGGGGCCTTACTAAACTGACAAGGACTTCCATTACAATACTGACCAGAAGGGGTAAGACTGGACATCCCTGACATGTTCCAATCTTAAGTGGAAAACATTCAGTCTTTCGCTATTAAGTATGAGATGCCATTTAAATGGGTAAAGGGACTTCTGGTTTGCTGAGAATTTTTATCATGAATGGGTATTGAATTTTGTTAAATTCGATGCAATTTTGTCCAACTGTACTCTTTCTGCATTTATTGGGATGATAGGTTTTTCTTTTTTATTCTGTTAATATTGTGAATTACATTGATTTCAAATGTTATAGCAACTTCGCATTCCTAAGATAAGCCTCACTTCATTATAATATACAATCCTTTTTATATACTGCTGGACTTATTACTAAAGCATTGGCAAAAATTTTCTTGTCTATGCTCACGGGGGATATTGGTCTGTAGTTTTATTTTCCTGTAATTTCTTGGTCAGGTTTTGGTATTTCCCTGGAATATTCTTCATCATCCTTTTATTTTTAACTTACCTATGTGTTTTAATTTAAAGTCAGTTTCTTAAGGGCAACACTTAGTTGGATCTTGCTTTTTTATCCAATCTGACAATCTCTGCCTTTTAAATGTTTAAGTGATTTATAATTACTGATATGGTTGAATTTGAATCTATTATCTTGCTGTGTTCTATTTCTCTCATCTATTCTTTGTTTCCTTTTTCTTTTCTTCCTGCTTTCTTTTGGATTATTTTTTAAGACCTCATTTTCTCTCTACAACTGGCTCATTGGTTATGCCTCCTTTATTTTCTAGTGGTTGTTCTAGAGTTTACATCTGTAACTTATTACAGTCTACCTTCGAATAATATTATGCCACTTTATGTATAGTGTAAGGTCATCCCAAGTGATCTGGAAATTGGCATGCTTGTTGCTGTCCTTACTTTTAGTGCACCAGACTAAATGATCTCAGTGTTGAGCTGCCTTACCTTGTGCTTAGTCTGAGGATTGCAGTGCTGAAGGTTTCTGCTCTACCATCAGCTTTTTGCAGTCACCGCACACCCACTCCACAGAGGGGTCTCTTTCACACTCCTGCACCTTCCCCAGAGGCAGACTACTGCTGCTTGTTCCTCAGGGTTAGGTTTATTTGGGGGCAGGGAGAGTTAAAAAAGCGTTTCTATCCCTTCCACCTATGGCAGCTGAGTCCTGAAATGTATCTGTGGTGTTCTTGGGCAGGAAAGGTTTTTCTATCCCTTTCCCAAAAGTACAGACCTCTGTTTTGTATTGGTTTGGGATCCTGGACCCATTTCCTGCTCTTCTCTCAGGGGAAGATGGCTTTTGCTTCTACCCTTCTCCCAAAAGCAGCACCTTTCTCCCAACTCCTGTGGGAATGAAGGAAGAGTCTCTGATCTCCTCCAGAGGCAGAAGAGGTTTTTTTTGTTTCTGTTTTTTTTTTTGCTTCTACCCTTTCCCCAGAGGCCCTGGGGATGACAGCGTTTGTTGCCCAGCTCCAGTGATCAGGTGTTCATATCAAATGAGTTGTGTCTGGGGAAGTCGCAGGGCTTTGTGCTTATTCCCCAGCAGCAATCACCTCTCTGGTTCCGTGACTGATAAGGGCAGACTAGGGTCTCTCCGGTCTTCTGTCCTGTCCAGTTTTTCTTGTGAGCATTTGGTGGAGACCTGTGGCAAAGGGCTTGCAAGTGGGAACTCCCCTTGCGTTTGGAGCTCTTGGTTATTCTAAACTATATGCTAACCCACTTTTGGACTTGAGGGAATTTAAAATTAATTTTGGTTATTTCTCCTTATTTGGTTCTCTGGCAGCCACTTCCTCCTCTCATGCTCTGTCAAAGGTGACAGTTTGTGTACCTTATTTCTCCTAGGAAGGGCTTGGCACATTTTGGAATTAAGTACCATTGATTTCCTTGTAAACTCAGCTCTCTGATAAGTTCAAAGAAAGTTATGATTTTTGTGAGCTATCTGGAGTTTTCTTTTTGAACAGGAGTGACATGCTCTTACTACTTTCTATATTCTAAGTGAAAGAATAATTTAGGCTTATATTTTGTATGTCTCTTCACGTTTTTATTTTTAAAATAATTTTATTGTATTTTAAGAAAATATTGCTCTGTGATAGATTTGACAGATTGGAAAGCATTAAAACTAGTCCTTTATCATAAATAGTCTGAAAAACACTGTTTGAGTATATATAGTAGTTACAGTTATGACAAGATTGTCCAAGTTGTAGGTGTCATGACAAACTGTTTATCTATAGGAACATTTCTTTTGGGATTTATAACATACTGATGGGTAGTACAAAAAGTTCATATTAATTCATACTTTGCAGAGGGTAAGGGCAGTTTTGAGTGATTAATAAATTATTTTCACTTACGAAGACTTAGTATGTAGCCTATCATATAGCACAGCCAATGTTCTACCTTTCTAAAATACGTTCATAGCATTTGTCCCAATTTTCCATGATGCCAGGGTTAATTACTTAAGAATCTTTCAAAATGCCCCAGATTTCCTCTGGGGAAAAGGCATATCAAAATAAACCAGAGATTCTACCAACTGGCAAAGGGGCTACTGAAATGGAAACATGAGAAGAGAAGGTAGTCTTGAAGACACTTAGGAAACTATTATCTCTGATTTCCCCTGATAAACAATTTTGAAGTAATAATTATTTATTTTAAAATATTTTCTCACATAACACTTTTATTATGAAATTATCACTTTGTTGTTCATGTCTATCTTTCCTAACAAAATAGTGAACAACTCAAGAACAATGTTGTATTCATCTTTGTACTTCTCAGTGTCTAGCACAGTGCCTGGCATACAGCAGGCTCTTAATGAATACCTATTTGAGTGAATACATATTGAATTAAATGAATAGATCTGATAATGGTTCTGTCTAGTTTTTCTTGTATCTTTTTCCTCCAGGCTATATCCTGCTCTTACCTCTCTCCTCTTTCCTTTTTTGCTAGTGTAATAAACAGATCTCACAGAATCTATAATACCATAATGTTTGCCTGGCTCCCAAGTAACCACTACTGTTTGAAGCCCTATCTGCCTGATCAGTTGGCTTCATACCTATAACAGTAGCATTGGGGCTGAGATAATTCCAGCTCTGTCTTTTGCTTGGATGACCTGGCAGCCTGCTTGGTGGCCAGATTTTGTAGCCAAATAATTTTCCTATAACCACCTCAGGGCCTGGATGAATGGATTTCTATTTGAACCTGCCTATTTTTCTCCCTCATTGGTCCTATGTATCCAGGGACTCACATACCTCAACTCCTGAATCTCTTTGAGTCACAAAGGTACTTCATCTTATGCTAATATATATTATTTCATTTTCCATATGCTCTGATCAATCTTCCATTAAGATATATAAGGAGAATGTCACTGAAAGCAGATATGGTCTTTTCTTTTTGAATATTCAAAATTCTTAACAGAATAATACATCCAGGGTAGACATACAATTATTGAATGAGAGAATGAGTTGAACTCTGCATTGAAAGCTCTTCTTAAGTCCCTTCCATGAATTTAGTCAACTTAACATTTACACTTTAGTTTTCCCTTTCCTTTTCCCAACAAATCATTTTACTTCTCTCACTCACCTTCATGGGAAAACTAATGTGCCATAAAGGGTGTTAACTGACAGTTCCTGAGAGGACCAAACGTACCTTGCAGTTCAGTAAGTTTCACATTTTTCCATAATCATTTATTAACTAATTTCACTATTCCCATAGATTTTTAAAAAAAGAAACTCTTACCCAGCTTTAGCAACACTTATGGTTTGTTGTTCCATTGCTTCGTGGATACTGGTTCTATCATGCTCTTTGAGGCTATTAAATTCATCGATACAGCAAAGGCCCGCATCTGCAAGCACTAATGCTCCAGCCTCCAAATTCCATTCTCCTGAGTCTTTTACAGCAGTTACTGTAAGACCTAAGAAAACAAGCACACTGTGTCAGCTTTTGTTTTCAAAAGCACATCTTATACCTATGAAGGGAAATAAATATATGCATTTTAAATGGAAGGGTCACAGCTTTTATTTCTAGCATACTAAGAATGAATGACATCAGGACAACTACTTCAGGTGTCCAGTCACTAGAAGGTCTCAGAAGACCCAATGCTCTGAAAATCTAACAGGTGTTGAAGATTTTGTAACAACCAGAAGTCTCCAAATTTTCTGTCTCTCCTTGGTAGATATTCTTAGTTAGTGGTCTAAACTTTTGGAAGGAGCAAATGGATCTCCAGAGATATTATAACAAGAGGTTCTGTACTATATACTGTTTACAGAGAAAGGTCCAAAGACAAATAACAGTAGATATTATAGTCCAATGATGAAAATGAAAAGTTTGCTCCCAGTCACAGAAGATTCCCGTTATATATCTTATTTGATTTTAATTCATCTTTTCTACAAGTCAATAAAGCAGAGTGGTCAAAAGCTAAGGCTATGGAGTCACCTAGACTTGGATTTGAATCCTGGATCTGTCATTCTGGCTATCATACTGTAGTCAAGTTTCTTAATATATCCAGGCCTCAGTTTATTCCTTTAAACGGAGGTAACGATAGAAAATATTTTATATATTCTTGGATATTCAAATAGAATATAAGTAAAGCTCTTTAAAATGTGTATGATACATAATGAGTAGTTATTGTTGATAAAAATTGATAAATCTCTGGCTAGACTGATCAAGGAAAAAAAAGGAGACAAAAATTACAAATATCAGGAATGAAAGAAGACATCACTATAGGCCCTACAGACACTGAATTCATAATATGGAAATATAGTGAACAACTCTATGTCCTAAATTTGATAACTTAGATGAAATGGTCAAATTCTATATAAACTGCCAAAGTTTATCTTGAAAAAGACGACTTGTACAATCTTATAACTACTTTGAAAATTGACGATGTTGTTAAAACTCTTGCAGTTAACACAGAAATCTACAAGCTGAGATGACTTCATGGTGAATTCTACCAAACATTTAAAGAATGAAATACCAATTCTTCACAAACTCTTCTTTAGAAGTAGAAGAGAACACTTCTTAACTCATTCTATGAGAACAATATTATCCACATATCGAAAATCACAAGAATACTAAAGATCAATATCTCTTATGACTACAGGTACAAAAATCCTCAACAAAATACTAGCAAACCAAGCTTAGCAATACATAAAAAGGATTATATAAATGCATGACTGGTGCAACATCTGGAAATCAACTAATGTAATATTCCCATTTTAACAGAGTAAGGGACAAAAAGCTCAAGATCATCTCAACAGAGGCAGGAAAAGCATTTGACAAAATTCAACAACTAGGAACAGAAGAGAACTTTCTCAACGTGATTAAGGGCATCTACAAAAAACCCAGAGGTAACATCATTCTTAATGGCTTAAGACGGAATATTTTCCCACTAAGATCAGAAACAAGACAGAGACTTCACTCTCACTACATCTATCTATTCAACACTGTACTGGAGGTTCTAGGAAGGGCAATTAGGCAAAAAATAAAAAAATAGGCATCCAGGAAGAAAAGAAGTAAAACTATCTCTGTTTGCAGATGAAATGATTCTGCATATAGAAAACCCAAAGAAATCCACTAAAAATGTATTACAACTAATAAGTTCAGCGGGGTTGAAGGAGACAAAATCAATTTTGAAAAATCAATCATATGTTGGGAGCATTTGAGATTTTGCTCCTTAGCATATGTTGTCAGTTTGGCTCAAATGACTCTTATAAAAATTTTAAAAAATAATAAAATAAAAATCAATCTTATGTCTATATAATTGCAATGGAGAATACAAAAATGTGTTAAAATACTAATTCCATTTACAATAGCATCAAAAAGAATAAAATACTTAGGAATACAAAATATAAGGCTTATACTTTGAAAATTATAAAGCATTGTTGAAAGAAATTAAAGACCACTTAAATAAATGAAAACATAGTCCATATTTACTGACTGGAAGACTTAACATTGTTAAGATGGCAACAGTCCTCCAAAGGAGCTACAGATTTAATGCAATCCTTATCAAAATCTCAGCCGGCTTCTTTGCAGAAATTGACAAAGTGATCCCAAAATCATATGGAAATTCAAGAAATCCCAAATAGCCAACACAACCTTGGGGGAAAAAACAAATATGGAGGATTCATATTTCCTGATTTCAAAAATTACTAGAAAGCTATAATAATCAAGACAATGTGGTAATGGCATAAGGATATATACCAACAGAACTGAATTGATTGTGCAGAACTAAACCCATCTATTTATAATCAATTCATTTTTTATAAGAGTTCCAAGACAGTTCATTAAGGAAAGAATAGTCTTTTCAAAAGACGCTGCTTGGAAATTGGACATCCACTTGCAAAAATAGCAATTTGGACCCCTACTTCACACCATAAACAAAAATAATTCAAACTGGATCAAAGACTTAAATGTAAGATGCTAAAAACATCAAACACTTAGAAGAAAACACAGGTATAAATCTTCATGGCTCTCGATTCGGCAATGTTTTTGAGAAATGACACCAAAAGCACAAGCAAAAAACGATGAAATAGATAAATTGGATTTCATCAAAATAAAAACCTCTGTGCTGCAAAAGCCAATCCCAAGAAAATAAAAAGATATCCCATAGAATGGGAGAAAATTTTTCTAAACCTGATAAATAAAAATTTCTGATGTCTCTAATAAAAGACTTGTATTTAGAATAAATTTTTAAAGTTCAATGATAAAAAGAAAAATGACCCAAACTTTTAAATGGCTGAAGGATCCATACAGATGTTTCTCCACAGAAGATATACAAATAGTCAATTAGCAAATGAAAAATGCTCTACATTTTTAGCCTGATGACTAAAATGTAAAATGGTCCAGCCACTTGGGAAAACAGTCTCGTAGTTCCTCATAAGGAGCTACCACACGACCTAGAAATTCCATTCTTAAGCATAGACCCAGAGAAATGAAAACATATATCCCACACAAAAAATGTGTACATAAAACGTTCACAGCATAGTTGTTATTTTTTAAAAAATCACTGTGTAATCATACCAGGGAACTTGGAGGTGGATTCTTTGTATGCTGGATTCAAGGCCTTCTACCAACCTAAAATCTACCAATTAATTATCTACTAGCTCATTTGTGAAAACTTTCACCTTCTTATCCTTTTCAGTTTTTGACCTTTTCTAATAAACCTGTATATAAGGCATCCAGTCTCACGAAGCTTACTTGCCTAGCTTCTGTCAAGCATGTCTCCATTTACTGTCGTTTGTCTCTATAGTAACCAACTGAAAAAGCTGCTATGCTTAGCAGTGGCTTTGTGCAAGCAGTGGTCTAGCCAAGAGATGTTTTAAAGACCTGAGTCCTCTCTACTTATCACAACATTTCTCCTGGTTATTAGGAAAAGGAGAGAGCCTCTGATGAATGGGAGAGGTGGAAGGTTGGAGAGAAGGATGGAATGTAAAACATGAAGGAAGATGGATTATACGTAGATACTGAGGTCAAGAGGAAAATAAGTTTAGAAGGACCTTCATTTATAAGAGGACTAAGAACACATGGTTAAAAACTAAATACAAGAAACAGACAATTATTATGCATTTCCATCCATGTTCTTCTGGTCAGAATGATATTAACATCAGCAACTGTCAATAAAAAACATAATTATGGTGCTTCAGAAAGATGACTGATATCATTGATAGCTATCCTAAGGGTGTTTAACAGTGTAGTCCAGCTATGCATAAAGACACAGAGTTTATATCTTCAACAAAATTCTAACCTAACAGTGGGTAGAAATGAATACAATACAGTGAAACTATTATTAAAGAAGTGGAGCAGAGAATAGGGAAGGGGGATGCTCTTTATGTAACAAATATGGAAACCTTATAAAAAATATACAGATGCATTGAGGGTTCATCCCCTCTACCTCCCAGTCATCCCTTCTACAACAGGAGGCTTTATCTCAATGGGGAGACTCCAGCTTTGCCATGGCTGGGGCCTCCTCTTACTTCCTGTATATACCTGCACCGACCTAATTCACGGAGCTTCATTCCTCAAGAGTTAATTAATCAGGTCATTACCACAATGTCTGCTAGCCTGTGAGTTCTTCCAAGAAACGATACTAATTGCTTTTTCTATATACAAAGTCCATGTTAAGTATTATCTGACACAGAGAAGAGAAAGTAGAGAAGCACTAGGGCAGCAATTAAAGGAATGGGTTTCTGAGCACCAGTGCCCTCATTTGCTACGTGGAGAGGAAAATACATTACCCTCTTACCTTACTAGGATGTTGTGAGGCTCTAAATGTATGTATACATATATGTCGCATATATATACATACCATATATTTACTGTACACACAGTACACACACACACACACACACAGACTTTATTGTGATACCATATTACCTTCTATTCTTTATCATACTGACTTAATTACATACTTATTTTTCCTACTAGACCATAGGTCTTTGAGGATAATGCCCATGTATGTTTTGTCTTTGGATATTCCACAGAGCCTAGCACAATAATTTTTTTTTTTAACTTTTTAAAAATTAAGTTTATTGGGGTAACATTGGTTAATTCAATTATATAATTTTCAAGTGTACATTATAATTTGACATCTGGATTCTATTGTGTTTACCACTCAAAGTCGTTTCCTCCAGTTACCATATATTTGATCCCCTTTACCCACTTCGCATTCTCCTTACTCTCCTACATTTGACCCCCTTTACCCCATCTACCTTCCCCCTCCTCTGCCACCCCTTACCCTCTGGTAACCACCAGTCCATTGTCCATGTCCCTGAGTCTCTGTTTGTTGGTTCTGTTCATTTGTTGCTTTTAGGTTTAGATAATAATTTCACATAAAAATGCCCTCTGTACTTATGTAATGAGTTGTTACTATTAAAATCATTACTGTAAGATTTATTTCTGTTATAAATGCCTGTAAACTCCAGCAAATCTCTACATTGTACATTTATACATAAAATTTTAGTTAAAAGTATCATTAAATTTTGACATTCTATAACTAATAATAGGGGGCCCTTTAAACTAATTAAAGAACATATTACAATAAGCCTTAAATAAAAAATTTTTTTAAAAGATGGGGACAATAATGTAAATGTCTCTTCAAAGAAAATTCAATACAATGTAATTACCCCAAGTGGAATCCAGGATTTGAACAAAGCCAAGAGGTAAGCACTTCCATTCCTATGATAACTTCTGCAGCAGGCACTGAGACTTGATTTCTTAGTTGTACTACACTTTAACTCACTCTTTCATCTTGTTTTGTGTGTGACTTCAATTTAACTTCAAATTTAAGCTTTTTAAAAGCCCTCTATAGAGGAGATATGAATCATAGAAGCAAACTGCATCTTGTGTCTTCAGAATTTAAGCTGTATGTCTAATAGTAGGTACTTCCTTTGAAGAACAGCTACAGCATACCACTCCTCACTGCGCCACAACCTATTGGCATAGCTAAATGACCACTTCACTTCACACCACGGAAAGCACTCAATAACTGACCAATAAGAGGATCAAATAAGTTTAGGTTACCAGGTAAGCTTAATTCTGTGCTAACAAAAATTATAGCTATATTAGTTTGCTAGGGTTGTCATAACAAAATACCAGACTGGTGGCTTAAATAACAGAAATGTATTTCTTGCAGTTCTGGAGGCAAGAAGTACAAGTTCAAGGTATAAGCAGGGTTAGTTTCTTTTCAGGCCTAGCTCCTTGGCTTGCAAATGACCACTTTCTTCCTGTGTCCTCACATGGTCTTTCCTCTGTGCATGTATACCCTTAGTATGTTCAAATTTCCTCCTCCTTGAATGACACCAGTTAGAGACTAGATTAGTGCCCACCCTAAGGGACTAATTGTAACTTAACCATCTCTTTAAAGGCTCTATCACCAAATACAGTCACAGTCTGAGGTACTGGGGGTTAGTGCTTCAACATATAAATTTGGGAAGGGAATACATTTTGGTCCCAAACAATAACTAACTGGGCTCATTTATCTCTGTCCTAGGCACTAATTTAGGCTTTGTTCATTTTAGAGCCAAAAAACGTCTTTCAGCCAGCCTCAAGTAATCTGTACAGAAAGAAGCAATTTGGGGATTACATTCCATGTAGCTCTCCAAGCATCATGTGGGCCTCCTTGGGTACTTAATACATTAAGGCATTTATGGTGACTCATCTGTTGCAATATAGTTAGCTGTTTGAGAGTCACTAAAAAGTTGTTCAGAAACAGATCCTATAGACTGTCTCTGAAAGCAGAATGATGCTCTTACAATTTCTCCCTCTACAACATGCCAGTTAATTTACAAATATGCCAGGGCACATCTGGGAAACCTTTTGGTCTTTCTCGTAAAGTATTGTCGATGGTGAGAAAACTACTGGAGTGCTCGAAAACTCTTTAATATTTCTGAAAAGCAGTAATAAGATGGTTAAGATAGGACAGACAATATGAGAGGTCTGGAGCCAATTCCAGTGGCTTCCAGTGAACTCTAAGGGAGTATGTGACATGTTAAAAGATTTTAAAGAAAATAAGCCAAACCAGTGGTATCAAGGTAGATAGATCTTCTTAGTTCTTGATGCTACATATCCAACAAAAGTGAGTTTTTATGGTAAGATGTACATTATGACACACCTATAGTAAGAGAGCAAAATGCACTTCATCTTATCAAGCTTACAATGTCATTTTTATAAAGTGAATTATAATCTCTTAAGAGGGCCTGCAATAATCAGAAAACAGCATACCATTCTTAAGGGAGTCATGTTTTAATCTTCGAATGGTGATTTATCTTATACATTTAGTGTCTTACAGCATACAGAAATTTACACCTTATCTTAGCTAGCCTTAGGACCAGCACTAATAAGAACAAAGACTAGTTTATCAATCATACTAATCTGTGCCTATAACCAAAGTATGACTCACACTCCAGTGCACACAAATAACTGGGCTTGAGGAAACCACTTCTGGTAGGTTCTGTTTCACTGTTTAATTCATTGACAAGAAAACAGGACCCCCATATAAGTAGTTTTCCTAAATGTGGGGAGGCCTGGTATTAGCTGTCCCATATTAACTTTCAAAAGACCATTACATGAAGAAGTCTCACTAAAAGCAACCTACTTAAGTATGAACAATGCCTAAAAAATGAAACTCAAAATTCTGAGCACTATACTAGAAAAAACTCTTTCAGCACAGATGACACTTGAGAATTAATTTTCTCTCTGAATTTAATAGCCAAGTTTAGTGGTTTCATTCACAACACTTAAGAAAATGATGGCTTATGAAAAGCTGGTAATAACACAAGCCTTTATACTTTAGACCACCACTCTTACTTAACAACCTCACGAATGTGTTAAAAGTTCTCTTTCCCCACGGTGGTAGTCAATGCACCATAAATGAATCAACATTGAATACAGATGAATCAATCAAAGGCTCCTCAGAACTCATAAATGGTGCTGTGAATTTTTATTTACTAACGGTTTAAGTCATAATTTTTTTGAAAATCATGTCGTGGTATGCCTGTGTGTTCTCAACTCTCCTTTCCCCTTATCTCTAATTAAATGTTGCCCTTTGGTCTCCTGATAATTCCATTTTCTCCTTTTATGTCCCCGTTATACCCACCAAACAGCAGCAACCAGGGATGTAATAATCACACCTCTAGTAATCTTTCCTTATTCTAGGGCTTTCCAGATTAGAAAGGGAGAAAGACGACCCCGCTGCAGCCCAAACACTACGTATTCATATTTTCAAGCAAAATCTGTGTGCTAAAGCGTCTCCTCGTCTTTCATTTTGTATCTATTTAACAGCGCTGTTGTGCCCAAACGCAGATATTAGCTAAGAACTAGATTTCCAAAATGGCTTTGCTTCTTTCGAGCTGGCATCGATCTATAAAAATGCAATTTATTTCCACTGCAACCAACCCTTCTCCCTACCCCAAATATTACCCAGTACATAGATAGCTGAACTTAATCTGTAGACAATCACATCTGCTAAATTCAGTACAGAGCAGCCATAGCCGTTGGACTCAAGAAGAGTGAATTAAAAAAAAAAAACCACGAAGCAAACCCGAGGGGCGGGCGTCGCCCA